TGACATTTACAATTTAGGTAATGGTAATTTAGGTACAGACCTTTCTATCCAAGAACAGTAAAACATCTGAGTCTAATGAAGACAATTTTTGAAATATTGGTTAATTTTCTCTTTGGGGCCTCACCCTGGACCCTTGGGTTGGGGTAGGTATCCCAAAAAATTCCATCCACTGGTTCTTGAGAAGAAGTCGAAAATGTAAAAGGTTTATGCATGACACATGACGGACGACGGACGGAAATCGATCAGAATAGGTCACTTGAGCAAAGCTCAGGTGACCTAAAAATGAGAGTCAATCATCTGAAAACAAATTGACAAAAAGAGTGACAAACGAAAATAACATTGACACTCATTGTAGGTCTAATTTTCTTCAATATGGGATGATTTTTTTCTCTCACTTTCCATAACACTCTTTGCATATTGTCCTGGAAATATTGTAGCAACACTGTCGAATTTGGATTGAAGACTCTTGGTGAGTACAATCATGCACTTTTCATCCGCTTTCAATTTCCCCTTTTATTTGATAAATCAACCAGGACACATTTTACGATACTTTTGAGCTTTACACCAAGTGGTGACTTTATCATCACAAGATTTGACAATGGATTATTTTTAACAAAGTCAATAGAAATTGTACTTTTGCCAATCTTTTTTATGCAATTTCGGAACTGCGAAACATTTTGGGCACCAGCAAAGTATATTGAGGCAAGGAAGGCCTCGTTATCTTCAGCAATACCATTACAGAAAACGAACGTAGACTTTATTTCAATTTATTGGTGTGCAGATTGCAACAAAATGTTTTCATGGATATACACATATTTGTTATCAGGTTACGAAGGAACAGAGACCGACATTAAAATGTGCCTTTAATTTAGCAGGTATTTCTGGTCTACATGGAACTGAAATATTTCTAAAACCAACATGATGACAGTGGAGCAGAGAGCCATTTTATGATCATTCATTCTATGAATTTTTAAACTTTGAAAAAATCATAGAAAAGGATATAGGAGACATATATACTTAAAAAGTCTCAATATTTTAGAGATCCTCCCATTTTTTAACCACCAGAAACTTTTCAAATCAGAAGAACTCCCTTCATCATGCTTTTTGATCGAATACAAATTTAGCAACCATTTTGTCAGATAATTTTTGGATCAAGCCAGGTCTTTAAAAGTAAGTTTAAGACAATTTTAAATATTTGAAAAGTATAAACAATACATGGAATACCTTTGTTCCTTTCCCCCCGTTATCCCCCTTACATAACCAAGGATGTATATAAGGATAACTGGAACAGCATCTCAACAGTAAGAAAACACAACGCCAATTTTTTCGGTTAATTTTGTAATTTTTCATTTTTTAATCTGTCCTGAAAATGTGTAAGGTATTTTTGGTATTTTGGCTTGCCAGGTTATCTGAGGTCACATATAGATTTGCATCATCCGACCTTCAGTAAGGTCACGGTGCTGTAACCTTTGGTCATCTGTTGATTTAATGTCCAGTTAAATGACCTCTGTCCAAACAGTCTGTACAGTTACAGTGATAGCCATAACACTGGTCAATGGACTGGTCAGTGGTGCTATTCTGGTTGCATCACCAAGGCTAAGATTGCACAGGGAGACAAACAAACTGGGGTGGTCACTCTGTGGGAGATTGTACACCACAGGTAGAATCTGTAGAGTCAGTATGTTAAACATTGCTACAGGCACCTGGTAGGTAAAATCTACAATTCCAGGTAAAATTAAATATTTAGAAAGTAAAACTAGGTCTTCAAAGTTGTGTCAAAATAGGGAGATTTTTTTTATCAATGATATGGCAGAAGTGAAATTGATTTCTCCTCAATAATTTATGACTTAGGCAGCAGTCATACAATGGGGCTCCTGGGCAGTGGAAGAATGGGTGTAAATAATACAGATAGGTCTGCAGGCCTCCATGTACCTATATACATACAGAAAGATAATTCTGAGATTGACAACCACCTGTATAAGTACTATGGGTAGGCTTTTCACTAATCAGGATCCTGACAGGTCAAATGACATTGAATTTACACACGATTGTATTAGGAAATGTGATATTAGCTAATTTAGCTGAGACATTTAATTTTGCTTTCAACTCCTTCTTGATATATCCTATTAATCAAGGGCACTTTGTTTTTCAGCTGTAGAACGATAATTTAACATAAAATCTTACTGAATGATTAAACTATAATATCTGTATTACGAGTCACCACGGACTCGTTTTATAAAGTTTCATTTTAAAACAGGATACTGTACAGTAGAGCCTTTTTTTCCCGGCAGAGCCGTATAAAATCCTTTTGGGATTTATTGCAACATTTGACTCCAACAATGCAGACTGAATGCCGAGTTGCTTTTTGATTTGTTAACAAAAGAGTTTCTATAAAATTCTAATTATAGGGTTTAGATACGAACGAAACCGTATGATCGCACCAATTGGTACAGTACATCTCAAATGGCAAAGGTCTCGGTACACAATTCATATATTTACACCTTTTGTTTTCCACAAAACAACATATCCATTGTTATCTTATGCATGTCATCAATCAGAAAGATTATTTGATATCTATCTAGCTGACACAAGAATAACACTGACGACATATGAATGGGCGATGTACAATATTGAAACTATACAAACATACAAAGCTTTAATCGAAATTACAATTTACCTCCTGTTAAACGATCAGCACATGTAAACATGTATGCAGTTCATACTCATTCACCCCTGAAGACGCATTTGAACTCTTCCAATTCAAATGTTGGAATAGTTCATCATGAAATTTCAGGGGTGAATGATTGAGTTAATCGGGATCTGTTCATCTTTTAAGAAATATCATCGGTACATATGTAACTATTGCAGACTTACAACCACACACACATAAAAACTCTGCTGTTTATATTTTTAATAAAGATATTTTCTTGTTAAAAGCTGTAAAACAGATATTTAAGTTTAAGGAAACAGGATGTATTCTGGTTACCAATAAATATAATAATTTAATTCACTGTGATGAAATTAATAAAAAGAAAAATATCCCCTCCAAAAAGAGAATAAATAGCTCATTAATTCTGTATAATATTTGGAATAATAACCATGAGGATCTGTGGTTTTAGTGAAGTTGGGACTTCCTGACTGTGACTAGGAAGTCACCAACCACACTATCACTGTAGACTGACCGCTGACCACCCAGGGCTATCTCCACTTATACACATATATTGATGAATGGTTATGTCAGCTGACATGACAGTCCAGTGCTGGCTAATTTGTAGGATGCCATGGCGACAATGATTGACCACTGCACTAAGAAGTGGCCGGAGTCCCACTGGCCTTGTCCAGGTACCACACAGCTTCCTGCCACACCGGCCCATGCAATTGATTAATGTCTTTTCTATGGCAGCTTAGTTCCTGGAAGATTGCTCTTCCTCCTACCAGGGGCCTAACCTATTACAGTCTCCAATTAGCAGAAACCGCCACCTTTACACGTAATCTATAATACTGTACTAAATAGCACTGACAAACAGCTATCTTACGAACAACTTACGATAATGGTATTCTCGAATACAGAAAAGTAACTTAGTTTTGATGAAGCCTTATAGTTTATGCTTATTTTATGAGTTATAATGAGTAAATTGGCGTGAGAAATATAGTATCTACCTGCGACAATTTAGCCTAGTTAACCTAGTATAGGTACACAAGATTGTATGTAGTTAAGCAATCCGCTGAACTCTGGTCTGCAAGGTTTAATAGCTTTGTATATCGCAACAATCATTCGTCTTACAATGAATTAACAAAATAACAAAGTCTGAGAGAGGTACTGAGAAATCTCTAATTTCTGTGGTGTTTTAAATTTTGTTGGTTTCGTTGGTACTCTACATCTGCGAATTCATAGGTTCTAAAGTAATTTCAAGTTTGTCATAAAGCTATTCGCTGTATGAGAGAGTACTCGTGACCCACAAATTCATTGACCCACGAAAGGGTGATTTATTTAATGGGAAACCACAAAATTTTGGCACCACAAAATGTACCTTTTCACAGTATTTTATGATATTGCTTGCATATATTGTATACCATATCCCCTCTCTATCATATATCACTAGCTTTTCAGCAAGATGACCTGGGTTTAAATCCCATCTCTCTATATAAAGAAGCGTACCATTGCTCTATATTTTTTGTGTGTCTGTTATTCAGTTTAACATTATTTTAATGGCCACTATAAAAATAGTTTAATGGCTGTAATCATTTCTTTTTATCTTGCATGTTTTCTCATCATTAAAAAAAAGCAGAAAATATACACACATTTGATGTTCATAAAACGTACATTCAACCCTCCCCTTCCTTAAAAAGTTTGATTGACAAAAGAGGAAACAAACACTGTCGATCCACATCAGGGGAATAATATACTTTTTCGTATTTGTCATATAAATTCATTAATTTTCCCACCCATTATAATATTTTTCTCAGAAATGGATTTTTTTTATTGCATGCCTGTCAATATCTAATCTTTATTATGCCTGCAATGTTAATTTTAACAATACTACAATGTTTGTCCTTTAATTACATATTTTTTAAGTTGATTGGTGTGATGTTAATTATAATGAGACGGCATTCATTTCATTCAGTTAATTTGTCATTAAAGTAAAAAAAGGGACAAGTCTCTACAGGGATCTGGTTGTTATCAGTGCCACATATACAGGACCTTCTAAAAATCATTCCCTGAAACAACACACAGGCACACATTTGTTAAATAACAACTATTGACCAGTTCCCAGTGAAAACCTGAGTTCCTCTCAATGCTTACAGGTAAATACTCCTGTAATTCCCTAGCCTATTGTCAGTGGTCAGTGTAGTGTGAGAGCACATGGTCAGTATACTGGACAGACTGGACTGACCATTAGCTAACATTGTGCTCCCTTGATTATCTTGCATTATTCAACATTGCTGGTTGGGCTAAAGGATCACATGACCCAGCTATAAATAAACAGCCCAGGGGTTAGAGGTCGTGCTTGGAAAAATACTCCATATTAATTGGTCAGTTGATAGCTATGCAAACTTTGTGTAATGTTGACTGACCACTGGTAACAGGGTCATTCACTGGATTTGTGTGTGGGGTAGACATCTGGATGGTCAGTGACATTTTCAGGAAGTACAAGTTTTTATATGAACATAGTGCTAAAGTGGACCTACAAAACCAGTATTTAGTGAACTGGTCAGTAATTCTGGACTGACCATTATTGGAAGGTAATGCTGATTGTATTTGGACATCATTGCATGGAATTTTATCATTATATAACTATACAGCTTGCTCAGATTGTTGACTGGTCAGTATGACCCACAGCTTGTTAGTCAATCCAGGGGCCCCATTAAGGGGAATAAGGCGGAATTATTATTGCCTTCCACCATGTTGTGTTAGCTATAAGTTCTTACTGGAAAATATTGATTTCAGATTTGCTGTTTATCACTGGTCAAAAGTAATACTCAGTCAGTGCCAGTTTATTAATTCTGGCCAGCTTTGGTCAGGCTGACATAACACTGGTCATTAGAATGTGAACTTGAGTCTTCAGTTCACAAGAAAACCTGCTACATGTACTAGTGTGTTTATTTGGAAATTGTCAACAAGCATGGTATATTCTGCAATACAGACAACTGAACAACCCAGTAGTACCTATAGCTTAATTAGGAGTTCAGGACTTATTAATATTGTTTAATTTTCCACTTGGAATCTAGCTATTTGGAAAAGCTAAACTATCGAAGATAATGCAACCTTCTTTTCGAAGGACTTGAAAAAATCCTGCAAATATCAATGGCCATCAAACTGATTTATTTCTTTGCCAAAAGATATGCTTTCTAAATTAAACCATGACATGGTACAAAAAATATTGCATATAATTATCAACCTTGTTTGATTTAAACTTTTTCAAAGTTAGATCAAAGAAGTAACTTTAAAAAAGGTCTAAATGCTTTAATATTGAAACTTTCTTTTAACCTTTTTTTTATAGTTTAATATATGAATACAAATCTTAGATAATCATCTGTCTTGTAACAAAACATTTTGGTTACATTAAATGCTATTTCTTGTCAAGGAAATATCATAATTAGGAATTTAAAACCTATTAATTTACAACTGTTATCAAATCATAACCTCCCATTAATTAAGTGGTATTCCTGTTATATTAATTATTACAAGTAGTTATCAAACTTTTCATTTTTCATTGTGGAAAAAATAAATCGTCTGGTTATATCTTATATAGAGATGTTTGTTTAACATATATGTCCGAGAGATTGTACAGTGGCCCATGTTTGATTCACATGATACAGCAAAATATGTCATTTGTTTTAATATAGTATATGGAGATGTGAGGTTTGATGGTATTTATACTTATGCCAAACTGAAACAAAAAGAGTGTTTCCTAATATTTGATTTATTTAAACAAGTGATTATTAGTGTTTGCCCCCCCCCCCCCCCCCCCCCCCCCTTTCCTCAATCATGGTGGTATGTGGCCGATATATTTCCACTGCAACATTAAACTTTGTATATAAGGGTTTGGGGGGAAGGCAACAGATTCACTGTATGCTCAACTATGATTTTTGATCAAGGTGTGTGTTTATGTGTAGGGGGTGGGTGGGTGTTGTTAAATCATCATATGATGACATAAATTCAAAGTATCAATATTGTATGCCAAGGGCTGCATGTGTATTTGCACTGCCATCTTGTCAGTTTCAATACACATGTCAATTTCACTGTATACATGTCAGCTACATGTTTATCACAGTATTCAGCAATTCCACCTAGGGTGGGTGTTATTTCCCTATTTTCAAACCCATCAGTGTTCATCATCAAACAGTATATACACATGCATTGGTTATTTCCTTATGTATATAGTATAATTGACAGCTAAAAATACATCTGGGACACCAGGAAATATTTGATTTCAACAAATTTGTTGGGAAATATTATAGTACATGCATATGATCACAAACTCTGATGACATTTGCGGTAGATTTGAATTGCAGATGTTACAATTAATTAACTGGGGCCTGGTCTATATATATTGATTATGGCAAACTTAATTCAAATTCTTTTTAAAGTTTTCAGAATACTTCTAATAATAATATTATGAAAATTCTACAAAATTTTAATAATGACAACTCATTTGATGTTTTTCAGAGAGATGAGAAGTTGAGAAAGTCATGTGTTGACCAGCGATCTTAAGGCCAGTGTGTGATACCATATAGTTGTCCAAGACAATCCAACATAATTCGCCCAGATTTGTGACATCTACACAGCATCATGCAGGATCCGTACTCGGCCATGATGCATCGTGACGACCGATTCTTCAAACCATACAGCACTGGTGTTCGAGGAGGTAATGGGAGTGTGCCTACGTCATATTATGGGATGGGCTACCCTGCTCCCACCCACACGATGAGCCACACAGACCTGGCAGGACTTATGCACAGTGCAGGGCCTTCCTCTACAGGATTAGACTATTCTCTTGTGTCGTCCAGCAGTAATCATGACCTCATGTCCCCTATTCCCCCAAGCCACACTATGCACCATACGCCCACTACAAACAGTGGGGACATGCATCCAGGGATTAAGCCCCTAAGTCACATGAACATGACCCATATGGGGTCAGGCGTACCGACAAGTCCCCCTTTGTCTAGTTCCATGGTAAAACATGAGGTGGATGAGGAAGCAGACAATTCTGATTTAAATTCTCCATCCTCCACGAGCAGTAATACCTCCGGAGGGCATTTAGACCTCGGAAACGGTGATGGGGAAATGAACTTTAGAATGCCCCCAAAGAAACGAGCTCTGTCTGTACCCGATAACCAAAAGGATGACCTATATTGGGATAAACGTAAAAAAAACAATGACTCTGCCAAACGGTCACGCGAGGCAAGGCGTATGAAGGAGGAACAGATTGCACTTAGGGTTGTGTTCCTAGAACAGGAAAACTTACAGTTACGGACAGAGGTTTCGCTACTTAAGAGTGAGATAGAAAAGTTACGATGCATGCTGTACAACCCGTGATAATGGGTGTATATATATATGCGTATGCCATGGAAATTGTGTTGTGTTAGAAACGACAGCTGTATGACACCTATTCAACGCTCAAATGTGTTCAATGAAACTGTCACACTGTTTTCATTTTCATTTTCAAAGTGACCATATTTATTTGCCTAGTATCATCTTTCCAAAGTCAGTTTTTGGAGGATTTTTCAAAGCCATTACTTTCTTTTTACAGCGCTACCCAATCCATAATAGAATCTAACAAAATCAATTAAAGGCAACTGTTTTGAAGAACAGTTCATACCCATATCTCTAAGAGAAGCCTTCCTTCTATTTAAACTAAACACAAGAAAATGTGAACGGTTTTTTTTTATTATATTTTTTCCGATTTGTAAATAAAATGCAGAAGCTATAATAAATGCGTAATGCTATGTCGATGGGGTACTGCTATATCTACAACATTTGGTTTTAAAATTACCCAAAAACTGACTTGTGTAAGACATGACCAAATACGGGGATTTTCTCGGAAATATCTATTATTCTCTCCTACGATTCTGAGCTGAGGAAAATGATGTGGGATGTAAAATTTATACGAACTGAGAACCTGAAGAGTTTCGTAGGTGTATAATGTGGCGGGCAACAGGAAATATTGGTCGTGTCGACGGAATCAATGTCTTTCTGTGTTACAGTGAGGCTGGCGATATTTCTAAAGGAATTCAAACTGAGGACACATCCTTCGATTACCTAGTCCCATGAAATTGATTGATTTGATTAAGTACAATAGTTACATAAGAATGACCTATATCTATTGGTGTTAGATCAGGAATACATCACAATTGTATACATCCCATCATGACATCACGGTTGCCATGGTGATGGAAGGAAATACATCAGTATGGGTACAATGGGCAGATCTAGACTATTCCATTATCAAGTCTCAGGGTTTTGTGCATGGGCAGCATGGTTTCACTTTCGAACATTAACTAATTCACCCCTGAACACACATTTGGACTCTTCCAATTCAAAGGTTGGAATAGTTCATTATGAAATTTCAGGGGTTAATGAGTTAATTTAATTTAATGTCTACTCCGAAACAAACATGCCTTATAATTAATAAATGAAATTATGATTATTTTTTCTAGTTATCATGATCAACTTTTGTTTCATTTTTATTTTTAAACAAATCAATTTGATGAATCATAGGCAGTTTTTAGCACTCAATAAAACCAAATCTTAAACCCCCCCTGATTAAAAGATTGAAATTTCGTCTGCCTCAATCTGATTTTTAATTAAATTTTGTATGTAACTTCATGACAAATTTGTATTTAACAAATAGCTACCTCATATATAGATATTACCGGTGCCCTTTCATTTTTATACTGCTGATTTATATTATGAGCAGCATTTATTTCTGTGATTGAGTTTAACTTACAATGATTGCAACCTTTAACTTGTGTCTGACATTGTTTTGGTGAATTCCAGTGTGAACATGAGACCAATCCGTATATGTATGTGTATTGTTAAATGATGTTAGCAGCTTGAGAGTTGTTATATACCAGATTGAGAGATATTTTATAGCAGGTTGAGAGATAATTTTTAAGGGTTTGTCAGTAAAATTATTTTACTTTATGAATCACATTTGTGCTTATTCTGATTGCAAGACTTTTTTTTTCATATATGTGTACTTTTAATAAGTGACATTGCATTTTCTGGATAGAACTACACTGAATTTTTACTTACACTTCAAGTAATTAACTCATTCACCCCTGAAATTACAAAATGAACTATTCTAGCCTTTGAATTGGAAGAGTTAAAATGTGTTTTCAGGGGTGAATGAGTTAAATCAAATGGCTATAGGATCGAAATATTTTTCCCAAACAACTCTTTCAAGATGTTTTTGTGAAAACATTACATACAGTATATATATGTCACACTTAAATCTCAATTATTTTCTTTGGTTACAAAGTCAATTGAAAACCGGTAATTGAAATTTTAAAAAAAAGGATTTATGTAAGATTGTTATTCAGTTTTCCTGGAGGAACCCTGAGAAAATTATAAATCTTATAGATAAATGCTTTCATAGAATCAAAGTTTTCAAAAATGTTTTTTAGAAGACAAATTTAACGTGGTTACGCACGAAAAAATTCGAATGTATTTACCTGTAAATTTTTTGACAGATTTTGATGTAATTAAAACACCTCACATAGCTTTCATTTTGTTATCTGCATCAAAGGTGCCGAAACATGTAGAATTTAATTGATCACTTCATATGTGTGACAACCACAACCAAATGACTTAATTAATAAAAAAAAGGATTCCTTTAAACCTGAACAATTTACAATGAGTGTGTATTCATATCATTATTTTATCTGGTCCAAGTATTACAAAATCATCGATACATATTTTTGATCACATTAATTCAAGTGACCTTTGAACTCAGGTATTTTACATTTATTTTTTATGTTTTTAAATTGATTCCGTGTAGCAATATTGTTACCTCATTTTCTACATGAGGAATTTGTTAATAATTAATTAGAATCAGATTTACATACAGTTGGTTGTATATACAGATGTGACTCAGGACTTAAAGTAACGGTGCTACACTCAAAAACACAAAGTCACATATACGTCACTCTCTTTTTTATCAGCAATTTTAACATTTTTTTGACCTACGAAAGCACATATTGGTCAAACACTTTTAAAGCACTTTCGCCGTAAACAGCATACTAGTGATTTGGCTATGATATACATTTATACATTCATGTTATTGCACTCATTTACGCCTGAAGACACATTTGAACTCTTCCAATTCAAAGGTTGGAATAGTCCATTATGAAATTTCAGGGGTGAATGAGTTTAAGTGCACAATAAATAAATGTGAGACACAATATGAATGTGAAAATGTATTTCATAGCCCAAATCGCCAGTAAGCTATTAACAACAAAAGTGTGTTAAAAGTGTCTGAACAGCATGGACCTTTGTACCGACCTCATGTAAAGTTGTACATTTTTATGTTTGATACAAACCCGGTGATCACTACGAATATGCATTATTTTCATAAGAGGTACATAATTTTCACATAGATAATTTGAGGTTTAGGGTACCATCAAGTTTAAAGATTACACTTTACACTTTACAAAAATATTTGCTTAACTTATTTTCAACAGAAGAGAGTTCCATAAATATAAGTCATATCTTGTGATGCTTTTAACAGAATAACATTTACTGATATTTGAATATTTTTATTTTTTTTATTTTTTATATAAAACTGCATGTTTTGTTCTCAGGACCTTGACAGTGTTATATAAAACTTTGACAAGGGAAGTAACTCAGGAAAATTTTGGCTGCTTCATCTTCTATATATAAGGGAGACTACTCCCAGCTCTTAGTGGAACTCTTTTTGCAATTATAACTGACGAACTGGTACCCTTAACGTTGATTAAATAAGCACATTAAAGGGCTGCTATATACCTCACTGATCCTGACCATAATTCTTAGGGTCCATGTTAACTTATATATCCATTTGTTGTTTACATACAGTATTGTTGACAGCTAATAACTTTGTTTTTAGAGTGTACAATGTGACATTTTAGTACTCCTTTTGTTTAGAGAGTACATTTTAATTGCCATGGATACACCTCAATCCTGACATCGTTTTAGTTTATAGCCTTTTCTCAAAGAAATTTGTGTTTGTGAAAATGAAGAATATCCTGAAAGAAAATACGGAAACATATGGCTAGGACCTGGGTCATGTGATGACACTTATTAGCAGTGTATCAGGTTGGATGAACGTGTTATCAGGGGCATATATATATATATATATTCAATGTAAAAAAATATATGTTTTACCCTGTCGTCATATTGATTGATATTTGATGTGAATGGCTGATAGTGGAATGAGAATTTGTACAAATAAATGTTATCTACTGTATCATGCTGCTTTTGTTTTAATTTGGAGACCAATATCTGTTCATGCATTTTTCTTCTTCATTGTATTCTATGACAGGAAATCTTGAGTGTCACAAACGAGGCACCTGTGGCCATGGTCTGTCCTCCTTGACTCTCAAGCAAGTGTCTAGGACAAGACATCTGCACCTGTCTGTCATTTGACTTGGATTGTGTAACAGATCATTAGGGTACATGCTAATCCCCCCCCCCTCATCCCAGGGTGTTTGTCTTTGACATGAAATCCTAAGTGTTTGAGATAAGGTACATGTATGTTTCTGACACTAAATGTTGAGTCTTACAGACAAGATGTCCATTTAAATGTCTTTGATTTGGAATCGGTCTTGGTTTGTTTATAGGGCGTGATACTACAGAACTATAAGTTATAAATAAAAATCAAACACAACACATGATTATTGGTACTTAAAGAATAAAGTTGATATATTATTTTTTCAGTTAAATACCTCATTAACTATTTTCAAACCATCATTTAATTCACTGATTTAAACCACACCGTATATGTATGCATATTTCTTATCCTTTTTGGCAGCCTTGAAGATTTTAATTTTCAAGGAATTAACAGTAAAAGCAGGTAATTATAGCAAAATTATTAAGAAAACTACACATTTACCTGACCAAATCTCAACAACAATTACATGTAAGACGAAGAGTGTAACAATAATGTAAAATTAATTTTACCATCGATCAATATAAAGTTATTTATCATTTAACGATAGCAAATGTCCTCCAAAGCAACAACTGATCAATTTCACATGTCAACAAAAAGGTGAAATATTACATATCAATTATTCAGATTTTAATTACACTGCACAACTTTGCCTCAAGTGCATTCATTCTATATATAGTGCATTGATTGAGAAACTAGTTTATATTTTGCAGACATTAATTTATAAGTTGATAAGTTAAATTGAACCTGTCCAGGCCATGCCCTGGGCATACCTCCTTACCCTGGTGTGACCACCCCTAGCCTATACACCTTGTTTATTTGACACTCCTTCTCAATGACTGTCACCTGGGGCGTTGCCATGGTAACTAACACCCCCGGGGAGTGGAACAGCTGCCAGTTCCATGTTGACACTCACTCTAGCTACCCACCCCTACCCCCCTTGGGGACTAGAGTGTCACTTCACAATTGACCATTTTTAAGCTGCTATCCAATTAGCACTGTTCAAAGCTGGAGTTAAGTTTATGACAAAACCTCTCTATCTGTTGTGATCTAGGTTTAGATGTAAATTTATAAATATAGCCAGAGGCTTTGATCTATCCATCAAAATATTAGAATGTTTACATTGACACTCTGATAATCTTACGTGTTAAAAAAGTACAAGCCTTTAAGCTTGTGTTTTTACCATATAGACAGACTGTCTCATCGTGTAGAATCTGTAGGTGTGGACGTTGCAGAAAGTGTTGTTTTTACTTCGACAACCTATGCATTATGTCACTTCTCATTATGGAACTGATATATCTGTGTTTCTTTTTGATCTGCATAAATGGAAATATCGCCACTTTTCAGACAAGTTTTCTCTTATTGGGAGCGAATGCGTTCAAAGTGCCTCCTCTGAAAAATAGTGAATCCAGACTTGCGTGGGTATCAATAAGGAGTGGGTGAGATGGTAAACACCTTAGGGAAGGGGTGATATATATAAATCTGATATACAGTTTATTACGTTAATGTTCAATAGAACTTATCAAATCTATATATCGCATGTCTGCATACTGCATTAAGTGAAAATTCAGAATTTTAGTCTTTTGGATTCTGAGATTAATCCATGGAAACGATTACATTTCTTTTCTCTCCTTCAGTTGTTGTTGTATTGAAACAGTCGTTGAGATATGCTGTGGAAACATGTGTTACACTTTATTTTAGTACTTGAGGTCAAGGTCAAAGGTCAAATTGAGGTCAAAGTGACCTTGTTTGAGGATGTGACACATCTCTTTCCCATGTTATACATATTGTGGTTAACTTTAATGCCAAGTTGCCAAGTTAAGGTTTGGAAACCATCCTTTTAGTACTTGAAGTGAAGGTCACTGTCAATTTAAGGTCACCTTGTTTTAAGTATGAAACATCCGCACATCTTCCTTCCCTGATGTACCTAAATACAAGTTAAAGTTTGATGCCCATCGGTGAAACGGTTGCTGAGATATGCTTTGGTAATCACAGTCAATCAGCAAGGACGAATCGACATTCAGAACAAATACTTCACACCCCTGACTTTGGTCGAATAGTTGGTATAAAAATAATAAATATTTCACAAAGAGAATTAGGATTTGACAATGACTAAAAATCCTTAACATTACACCTTGTTCTTAGCATGTATCACAACACAGCCTGTGAACTTATGGCAGTGTTGTGTTTACCATCGATTGGCCATTTGTCAATCCACTTTTAAAAAGCTTCTTCTTGAGAACTGAAAGACCTATATGGTCAGTAGCTACCTGGCATCAAGTGCTTTTATTTTGCCGCATACATTCAAAAAATCACTGGGGTCAAATATGTGAACAAGAAAACCGCAAGGGCCAAACAATATATGTCGAGTCACATGCCATGTTGCTTTGCCGAGACACATTTTAAAACAAAGTGACATATTTGGATCCATCTTGATGCGTTCTTGTCACAAAATGTATGAAAATATTGACATGTTACACGAAGAAACAACATTTGCTCAGGAAAGTTAAATCTTCTATATGTTGAAGATGGATAACATGCTTTATTTCACTAGCCAGTAATTAATCATTCTGACTTTGTTTCATGTGAAGGATACCAGCTACCACTGCCAAGAATTGTGCAGCATGAATATGGGTTTGATAAATCACTTTAAAAAAGAAAACCACATGTCATTTCAAATGTCATCAGGTTCCAATTTGCTGCAGGATTAAGACTTGGCAAGTAATGTGCATAATATCCATGTACCTCTCATCACGTGTACCAAATCGCAGAAGATTTGTTTGAAAACTTGGACTATGTGCGAATACATGGGTAACATTTTCTGATGGCCATAACTTTTGTAAAATAAAATACAGCATTCTCAGGCATTTTACCACTGTGTATATTCAAATGATTCTCATTATACACACACACCAAAACACACATCAAACAGTTGAAAACTCTGGACTAGTTGTGGTCACATGTAATGTAAACAGAGTACTAGGGGACATCCAGATAAATACGGACACTTTTCAAATGATGACTATTAATACACGCTTCTTGGTACAGTTACTCAACTTGCTGTGTGCCATCTTTCAAAGATATCATCAACGAACATGTTTAGTTAGAATGAAGGTCCCTTTTTGTTGCTATTTTTAGTGATGCTTTTGATTTGCCGGAAAATGAACACTAAAATATAAACCAAAACACAAGCATATACAGAGGTATCGGTTGTCGATGGACGCGTGTGGGGTAATTAAGGACAGGTGTCGGGTAACTACGGACACGCTACTCTAATTATGCACTCACCCAATGAAACCATACAAACTAATCACAATGTTTCGCCAGGGGTTGCTACATCCTTTCGGCATACAACAAACCGGTCGGTTTGTAATTATAACTTACCGCCCCTGTCACAGACTTTTCCGATCCGACTGACACAGTTCAAAGGGTAAAGAACCAAAACGTAACGAAATGAAATAAGATGCTGTCTAATATTTCTGTGGATTACTATTTCATTTTATTATCATATTTTCTCTTATTTCATAATAATATTTTTTATGAAATGTCATCTTATATACGTTTGAAGCATAACAAGAGAAGTAAGGCGGATGTGTCGTCTCAGCTGAGGTAGATGTAGCCTTTGTAAGAACCATATAACTATTAATTGATCAATTAAGAACTGTTCGTATTTACCCGCCTAATAAAAATCTGGGGGGATTTTACGGACGCCTCAGACACAACAGTTCTTCCTCAAATATTTATATTGATACACTACTGCAATGGAAAAATATACAAGTAACAACATTAAGAGCACAATATAAAGTATGTGTTTGTTTCTTGTGAAGATAATTGTAACGTTATTGTTGTCTCGAATCGTTGCTTATTTTTCGGGTAATCGTTTTCGGAAATCAATTTCCGGACGAGTCGCAAAGTGCTCGCATGACGACGAATATTATTATACATGCTATTGCTATTTTTAGACTTTGGGATATTCCGGGAACTGATCGTCAACAAAGACAAACATCCATACAAGTATATCGATCTTTAGTCTTGCATGAACGGAGTTTGATTTAATCATATGTAATGGATTATGTATGATTCATATAAGAATTGTCTGTATTTGCCCGCCCGTCCGTATTTACCCGGATGATGACATGATACACTTCATTTTTGTGGGCATATAAAAGCTTTAAACATCTTCTTGAGTAGCATAAAGACAAGGGTCTTTACACTTGGTCAGTAGGTAACTTGGATGGATGGCTAAACAGTTTCTTCATATAAATGTCCTTGACATACTTTCAAAGTCAGCTTCTCAAAAAGTAAGCAATTCAAAGTCATCTTTTGACATTTTCGTTGATAAGAATTGAACAGTTATTCTCTTGGCATAAAGAAAAAAGCTTGACCAACATGCAACTTATTAGAGGTCACATAAATGTTTCAATGACTAAGCTTGTTTAACCTGCCATTAAGTAAAACTGGGTTATACATGATGATTGTCCAGATGAGAGCTGCAGGCCCTTTGTGCATCTTGTTTTAATGTTGTTCAGAACAGTTTTGTCTCACAAATTTTCCAGAAACCAGGCCCAGTTATGTTATCATACATAGAGTGAAAATGAAATAGATACATGAAACAAGAGAATTCAGATTGATGTGTCTCGCCTGGGCCCCCTTTGACCATCAATGCACATATCAGAGAAACTAACTTAAACACAAAAACTTAATGTTGATGGAGATGCTAACACAGTCAATGGACCATGAAAGGTAGGCCGCATCAAGCATGGTCCAAGTTTGGTTTCTATGGTCCAAGTTTGGTTGGTCTAGCACTTATACATACATGCCAGAACTCACGGCGTGAGGCAAAATCTCACGGATTTTCACCTCTGCTTTTACGGAAAGTCCTCAAACCCTCACGTTTTTTAATGATCGAGTGGTAAACCTTTTTCCCTTTGTTGTTTACTCAAATTTTTTCGAGATTCAATAATGTTATCAGGGATAAATCACGAGAGCTCTTGAGTAGCGGTCATGTGATGGTCATGTGATCGATTCGTATGCAAGAGCTCTTCCAATAACCTCTGGAAAATGTTATTGGTGTCGGTAAAATTGTTAGTTCATTTCGGTGTCTTTTACAATAAGTAATCTAGTTGAACGATAGAAATAAATCCATTTTATATTTTCAGTTTGATCCTCTTTTATTGTTGTCATTCAATTCCGTGATACTAGCCTGACACTCTTAATCTAAGACACTGTGCAACAGTTTCAGCTTCAGCATCAAAATTTTACCGTGAAGTCAGTAGGATTCGCACAATAAATGTTTTCTGTCATGTTTGTAATGTTAGCTCATTGCTAGACACTTTGAAAAATATGATGTCGGCTACATGTTTCTTTACAAATATTATATATATACTGATATAAGATCAGAGAACCGACGGTCAGGGGCATGTCAAAGAAGATGGAAAATGGCTTTGATCTGAATGCTGAAATATTAAATTTTAAAGTTCAAATGCAGAACACAGTTCGCTTTTCTTTCACAGCTGATTGTTTCCAGATTATAGTTCAAATGAAAATGAACAAAGACAACTATAATCCTTACAAACTCATCGAAATCCACAGTTCAAAGTTAATGTCTCCTAACTTGAACATCAGTAGTACTATAGCTGCTGTGAATATTAACCTGTCCAACTAAATTTCGAAATTTAAAGTAAAATCAGCTTTTGCAAGTTCCTCTCAATTCATCATAAGTGATAATATTTTGTTTTGTGAACTTTGTGCTACTATATGATTTTGTGTTGTATTTCATTGATAGGATAAGATTTTTTTGCTGTGAAAAAATGCCACGAATAAAACCTCCTTTATTTGAGCCTCAATTCCCTTAAAATGATTGTAAAACTCACAGAATGGTCTCTGGCATGTACGCTTATACTTCCAGTGAAACTAAGTTAAATGCAAAAGCTTTATTTTGCCGCCACTCCCGGAAAGGCAACACCTCAGTCTCGCTTCTGCTACTTCGTGGCGGCGAGACAAAAATAGTGCAATAGCTCAGCTTTGCCATTGACTGTAGGAGCTTAACCTTGACACATTACTAAGTGTGAGTTCTGTGACCTCGAGTACTGACCTTGATGATGTGTTGTAATATTTGTGAGTCCACCACGGCCGGGTGTTTGGCCGTTGACCGGTACAGATCTACTGCTAGCTCCACAGACTTCTCCGCAAATGGCACAAAGTTCATGGTCACCCAATCAACCTGTGAACACAAGACACAGATGACCTTGTGTGGAAGTAAAGGTCACTAGATCGAAGGTCACTAGATCAAAGGTCACTAGATCAAAGGTCACAACTATATATACATAACACAGAGGTCACTTGATGCGAAAGGTTAAGACCATCTAGGCAGATACAGCAAAGGTAATTTAAAGGTCAAGGTCAAGGTCATTGAAGTCAAGTCAACATCAGCAACAAAAAAGTAATCACATATGGAGAGGGGAAGTTACCAGAAAGTTCACAGTTGAATTCAGTTCCATATGCATTATATAGCAAAAGTCACATAGCATGAAAGTTGAAGATCACACTGTTAAATTTCACAGTTGTGTACATAAGTAACAACAATGTGATAGGACATATTTATACAGATGAAGTCACACAAACTTAAACATCCATTTTTTTTTCTCAGGAAATCTGTCAACAAATCAATCTTTTGATCATGCATGTTCTGCATATGGTAAACACTGGCTAAAAACGGAGTATAAAAAGACAAACTGCAGAACACATTTCCCTACATACAATATGATTCGGGGGAAATCATTTTCAGGTATCATATATAGGGTCCCAGTTTAAAATATGATCACAGGGAAACATCTTCAAGTAAAGCATACAATCTAGGGAATACATTTCCCAGTATAAAATATCCTTTTATAGAAATTATAAGATGTCAATAAGATGTTTAATAATTTTAGAAGCAACTTGAATTTTTCTTTTCTTCTTTTCATGAAATTTAATTTCAGCAAAATATAAATCATTTTCTTTTATAGGAAATTCTTTTACATGAAATAAAATTGTTGTATAGCTGTTTATAGTGAAACAAATCGTACCTGGGGCCCTTTGACAGATCCAAAGGCCCTTGCGTCCAGTTGACCATATTTGGGTACCCTGACCCCATATTCTATAAAGGTCAGGAGTTGGTGAAAGATGTCGGGGTACATAGATTGCATAGATTCTGGACCATTGTGTATCGCCTGGAATTAAACAAGGAAATAATAATATATTAAAAAAAATTCAAACCTGCTTGGGAGACCACCTCTATAAGGAGACCACCTGAGTTAAAAGACCATATTGCAAAACTCTCCTCTGCAGTTGTTTTCACATTAACTGTACCTGTGTTAAGAGACCACTTGTATTAAGAGTCAGTTTTTTAAAACCCTCTAATGCAGTTATTTTAATGTCAACTGTACCTGTGCTAAGAGACCACTTGCAAAAAGACACTTCTATAATGGTTTAATTCCCAAAGGTGGTCTCTGAATATAAGATTTAATTGTATAAACAAAATCTGGTAAGGATGTTTTTGACACACATGGGTGTTTGAAAGTTTATAATGGGAGCAGAGGTGTACCCATAGATTCATAAACAAATCACAAAATCTGTACGTCTCTTAAATCGAAATGTGTAACAAATGAATCACAATTTTACTGAATTAATCCATTTTTTTAAAACTTCCATTGGATCAAAACATTAATGTTGTTATAATTGCTGCCTTAAATATCTAAGATGGCTGCAAAAAGGTACCTTCATATCGTTTAAGTTATATCGTCATGACAGCTCCAATCTTATTATCCAAAAAACACTAAGAAATTGAATAACGATGATTTTGTGGGCTGTAAACATGATTTAATCAGGTCCACCTGACTGATTTTTTATTGTCTCAATCACTTACATATTGATGTGTTTATATCCCCAATGACTTTGACAAAGTTAGATTCTGCTATACGTACCTGTATGAGTGCCTCCATGGACTGCAGCGTGGCCTCCTGTAGCGGTGTGATGGTTACGTCGGGGTAGGATGGAATGATGAAAGGTGAGGCGTCACCATGTACAGGTACCGTCAGGGCACTCTTTAACACAGTACAGAGCTTTTGTAAGTCGGCCCCAACGAACCGTGTTTTAATGTGTTCAAACAGGGAGGGAAATGTCTGAATCAAGGCAGTAAGAAATGGCTGCGATGGCACATATACTTTCTCAGATCGGTGTGTAGTTTCTGGTGGTTTCGTTGCGTTTGTTCCTATATTCAGCCACACTTTCCAGGCTGTTGCCCATAGTGACGGGTCATAGTCCATGTCTGAACTTACCGACACTTGACCTTCACCTTCGTGACCTTTTGTTTGTTCAGATCTATTCATAACCTCATCCAGAGGAGGGGCCATGCTAGGTAGTCCGTCCATAACTGACCCTTCACCTTTGTCCTTAGGATCACGATTTATCTGAAGAATTTCCTGGAAACTTTTCAGTGCTGCCAGCGACACTTCAGCATTGAGACAAAGGGCAGAGTACTCTATATATTCCAACAGTAGCGACCAGGCTCTCGGGAAATCCCCAGCTACACAAGAAAACATTTTCAGCTTTAAATACTGATTTTGAATTATGCTTTATATATTAATTACCTAACATTTTCCGAATATTTACTATAAAACAGAAAAATTCAGTTGTTCCTGAATGAGGAAATAACATATCAATTTAGTTTAGATACAGAAGGACTAGTTAAAGTGGACATTTTTGCAGTGTGGAAATACTCACATTTTACGTCTTGATTAAATTAGCGCAAAACTATCCACACATGAATATTTATTTTTAGATTATAGATATATAGAATATATAAGAATTCAGAACGATTGCCAATCAAATTCCACATCACAGTCAGTTTAAAGAGCTACCACTCACGAAAATTTACTGGTAGTTAATGGTACCGACCTATGGTTTGGAGGGTTTTGCGTTTGGAGTTGAAGGTCCTGGCTACCCCTGCCAGAGTGAGGACCCTGGTCTCTGCCCACTGTTTCTCGGCCGTGTCACGGGAGTGGTGGATGAGGATGTTTCCTGTGGCGGCCTCATCTTTGACATTGGACGCTGTGCTGGACAACTTCTGAACCTTTTCTAGCAAGGGGAACAGCACCTACGGTTGCCATGGTAATACAGGTTAAATTATACGTCTTCACTTCATATGAACATATTATTAAAATACAATACCTATAAAAGTAATAATAAAATTAGCTTTAATAAAAAATGAAATGTCATAGACTTTTAACACAAGAAGTTTGTTAAGATTTATCCAATAAATTCTAATAAAAATTAAAAACTTTGGTTCAATAGAGTTAAGACAAAAATGTATACAGTTAAAACAGATTTATACCAAACCTTGAGTGATTTCAGGAAAGAATTCTCACAAGATTATTCATTATAGGATTGGTGTTCTAGAGACATTTCCTCACCAAGAGAAAAAAATATGAGTCCGCTAGACGGAAGAATTGACATTAAGGGTGTTCGTAGTAACCACTCTTCACTCTATAGTGTCACCTGTTTGACCTTGTATAATCTGAATACCTTTATAAACTAGACTATGTTCTCTAGTCTACATTTCTGTGTATTATTGAACCTGTGTAATAACAAGCTAGGTTGAAATGACAAAGCTGGTCCAGTACCTGCCAGAGAACCCGTTTCCAAGTCTCCTTGTGAAGCAGACCCCCGTGGGCAGATATCGTGGAGAAGAGGGTCTGTCCCGCACTTTTCCTCACGGCAGGGCGCTCATCCACACAAAGCTGACCCAACTTCATAAACAGACACATCCACAGTGCATCAAACGCTGGCATGCCCAGCTTTTTCTTCTCTGCGTCCGTCATGTCCTTGTCAAGGTCAGTGTTGATACGCTGGCGGTTTTGGTAGAAAAAGTCTGCAACATTCCACTGCAAAAGAATTTTATTTTCGTAATGGAGTAGGAATCATCTAAAACACTTGATATAATATTTTTCAGATATAGGGTTTTTATCGTAATGTGGAAACAGGTCTATAAACTTGCTTGGGACGTGTCCTGTACTCACCAGTAAACCAATGGCCGTCAGACTGATGTTGAGTTCCTGGTTCTGCAGTCCAAACTTGGCTGCCACCTCCACACATACTTGTAGGTACATACATGGAATTATGGGAAGGAAATCCGTGACAACAAGCTGTAGGCTCTGGAAGGCTGTCTGTATGAGCTTCTCACTGAAAACAAGACAGAACTATCATCCAGAGGCTGATTGCTGTTTCTGCATGGCCACCATATACAAGTTTCTGTCAAAAAGGTCTTATCCTCTCTTTATTTTGATCGCAGAAAATGTTTCAATGTATGATGTAATCTGAAATATTTCCCCTTGTTCTAAATTTCCCTATGCAAAAGATGGTGAATTTACAATGGAGTGACAATTGTGATATACAGTATAACCTTAATGTATCGCCACCCAATGTACCGCCAAAATCGATTATTGCCATGAATTTTGTCAGGACCGATTTCCCCACACTTAAATGCACCCGTTGTTCCGCCAAACTTGGGTACCGCCATCCGCCACGATGTTTTGAGGACAGTCGTGCAATAATCCCTTTGTTGGCCTCCGATAACACCCCCAGGCTACGTCACAGAAATTTACCTGTGTCGTTGAGTGAGCCCCGTTGGTCAGTTTTAGATGTTGTTATTACGTCTGGTATGTGTGTCTGATCAATTTATTAATTTACACCTGAATACAATTTACCATATTACCTCTGTCGGTTATTTATTCATTCATTCACATAATATGTCTTCTTATATGGCTTCTCAAAAAAAGAAAACAGGTTGTGAAGATATTCAATTCATTTTACAATTAAACATCAGACTGTGGATAATAATTGGTCCAACAAATTGAAATTGATTTGATGATACCGACAGGACACTGTTGTGCTCATCATGCGAATACTGTATTGTTTTGCGACGTGACGTACCACATCTGGCTATCACAGATAAAGGTGCGGATGCGGATTTCAGCGATCGCCGTGTTACAAGTTCGAACAGACTTGATCTCGATTCAGATTTACATTTGACTATGAGACAGTTTATTGAAATTATCAGATGCTTGCAACCCACTCGGGTATTAACAGACGATGACATTCTTGATGTGAAAAAATTCCGACGAGACGGACTCTTGACGATATCTGTCTGGGTTGTGCGGCAGAGAAACAGGATATTGAGACGGTTCTATACTGAGTCGAACACTTACACTTGACTACAGTGTCTGACGTACAGAAATGATGGCATTTGCAGTAGAGAAATGTGAATATTGGTACGGCTATGCAGACATTACTTGATGATTGTAAGTAAATCTGTAAATACTGGCACGTTAAACTGACACTATCGTTGTGGTACTCGTAAAGTGTATATCTTGCATGTGACACATTACCGAACTAACTATTCTTTCAAAAAATGGTATGCATATCAAAAATAGCATATATACATGTATATTTGAGTTTTCATTGGTAAATGTTGGATATGTGCCCAAAAACAAACAAGCGTTCATCCACCTGTCATTTAACAGAGACAACTCGTTGTACCGCCAAACTCGTTGTACCCCCAAAATGTCTGAACGAAAGGTAGCGGTATATCGGGGTTATACTGTATGTAGTTTTTGCAGTTAACAACATCACAAATTCAACACTAGATTAATTCATCTATAAGTAATTAAAACACAAAAATTTGATGAGGTGAAAATAGTTTGTTTTAAAATGGTTATTTGGTGCCAATTAGGACCGCATGGAACTAAATGACACTTTCATGAAGGAGAATGTTGCGTTCACATGCAAGAAAAGTAACAAAATAATAAAGCAGGTTGTTTCTTCCAAAAGAAGCTTCAGGAGAACTGTGTGGTATATGTCACCTAGCCTGATATGGCATCTTGAAGTTATTTGGCTACTGTTGACATACCCTATAACCCCTGACCGACCTCTTGTTGTTGTTGAAAGCGTCTTTGGTTTTCAACCCCTTGACAATATTAAGCCCTGTAAACACTGACCTAACTTTGGTTGTTGTTGATAACCTGTTTTGTACACTGAGCCATCTTTGGTTGATGCTGACAACCCTAGCCTTATGTTCCCTGACCAACATTTGGTTGATGTTGACAGCCCCTATGACTGATGACTTACCCCTGGTTGTTGTTGACAGCCCCTATGACTGATGACATACCCCTGGTTGTTGTTGACATACCTATCGGCGATGACTTACCCCTGGTTGTTGTTGACAGCCCCTATGACTGATGACCTACCCCTGGTTGTTGTTGACAGCCCCTATAACTGATGACTTACCCCTGGTTGTTGTTGACAGACCTATGACTGATGAATTACCCCTGGTTGTTGTTGACAGCCCCTCTGACTGATGACTTACCCCTGGTTGTTGTTGACAGCCCCTAGGACTGATGACATACCCCTGGTTGTTGTTGACATACCTATCGACGATGACTTTCCCCTGGTTGTTGTTTACAGCCCCTATGACTGATGACTTACCCCTGGTTGTTGTTGACAGACCCTATGACTGATGACATACCCCTGGTTGTTGTTGACAGACCTATCGGCGATGACTTACCGCTGGTTGTTGTTGACAGACCTATGACTGATGACATCCCCCTGGTTGTTGTTGACAGACCTATCGGCGATGACTTACCCCTGGTTGGTGTTGACAGCCCCTATGACTGATGACTTACCCCTTGTTGTTGTTGACAGCCCCTATGACTGATGACATACTCCTGGTTGTTCTTGCCATACCTATCGGCGATGACTTACCCCTGGTTGTTGTTGACAGCCCCTATGACTGATGACATACCCCTGGTTGTTGTTGACAGACCTATCGGCGATGACTTACCCCTGGTTGTTGTTGACAGACCTATGACTGATGACTTACCCCTGGTTGTTGTTGACAGCCCCTATAACTGATGACTTACCCCTGGTTGTTGTTGACAGCCCCTATGACTGATGACATACCCCTGGTTGTTGTTGACAGCCCCTATGGGTGATGACTTACCCCTGGTTGTTGTTGACAGCCCCTATGACCCCCAGCATTAGAGGCCAGCCATGAAGAAGCGTGTCACCGTTGTTGTGAAGGATCTGTAGAACACACTCGAGCTGCCTCTGTCTGATGTCTGACTGTAGTATGTTGGACAACTCCTGGAGAGGGGACAGGATGGTCATCTGTAGCTTCTACAACAGCATTAGAGAAAAGGTTACAAAACAGCATATCCAACCACATTAAAACAATGCAATATGGTCGGTTGAGATGGGTATAATATGGCAGAAAAAGTCTATCTACAAAAAACCTTTTGTAACTTTGCAATCTTGTATTGTTTAACACAGTATAATGTGACCGTGTGGAATGTCACGCTGGGTGGCTTTCACATTGTATTTCAGTGAGGTAGCACTTTAAAGTGGGCATCAGAACCGTGGTATCGCAAGGAGGCAAATACACCAACATACCCTACCTCAAGCACACATACACACAAGCATGCACACAAGGCACACATGGAGGCAAGTCCTTAATTGACCTTAGCTGTTAATACAACGCTAAATCAAAGAAAACCGACCCAATCCAAACTACACAATGATGTGTCAATTGGAATATAGGGAGCAATCCATATATATTTTCCTTATAAAGGGATCCACAGTAGGGTAACAAAAAAACAACACTTCTCTATGCTAATAATATTATTACAAAATTAACACAAATTGTTTTTCTTCAATTGTTTTCTGTCTGTTTTTAAACTTTCTTAGTTGAAATATCAAGTGAATCTGAAAACAGAAATCCTTAACCCTTTCACCACTGAAGACCAAACTGGACTCATCCATATCAATGCATGGTAGAGTCTATTAAAGTAACATAGGGGTGAAAGGGTTACTGCTATCATGGCGGGCGTGAGTTACAGCTGATCTATGGACAAGATGAAAAGTCACACTTCTGGTAAATCTGGTAATTGTGATAGCTTTGGTTAAGATTATATTTGTGTCTGCTATTGTCAGACATAAACTGAATTACGTGTATCGCATGTCGAAAGAAAATGCAACATAGAGCCGAATGAACATATTCTGTTGAAAAAAATATCACGCAAATAGACAACTATTTCACAATCTGGCATTATAGACGTGTAAATGATGTGACGCCACTGGAATGCAACACAACTGCGACGATTACTGTTACTTTTGCACCACATGTAATATTTATATGCATCAAAGCATCAAATACACACAATGCACTATCAATATTATTGAAACTCGTGGATCAGAATATATGTTCTCCTGTATCCCAGGGCTCAGTGACTGTGTCCTCACCATTAGCTGCCATGTTTGAAGTCATTTTGAGAATTTCTGCCAGACTTTCGTTTCAAAATAATTAAATGATATTTCATTTGAAACCGTCATATTTACGTTTGATTCCCTTGTAAAAAATTTACATCTAAGTAAATGCAGTATTGGCCAAAATTCTGTTTTTTTATTTGCGATTTATTAGCCAGCTTTCCAGCGTTCCCACAATGTGCTGCATATGCCTGTAATACCTGTAATACCTGTAATACTTATTAGAAATGATTCAATACAATTCCACCTCCAATTCAGGTGATAAAAAACAAATTAAAAAGAAGTGACATGACAATGACCTTTTGTGAAAGCCTGGCCTAATGCAGCTTAATCATGTAAAAAGGTTTACATATATATCGAAAACTCTCACATCCCCAAGTTACACTTCATTTTTTTTCCTGATTTGTGAACCAAATTTCCTTTTTATATGTAAACTCAGAATGAAGAGTGCTAATACAATCAGAGTTATTCCCCCTGGAACAAGAAAAAAAATCTTAATTTCTCCTGGCCAGTGAGTTATCTGTGTAGTAAGCATTGTAGACCAGAGCTAATAAGATATGCGGTAGAATTATCTAAACTGTCTCCAGTATAGGTGTGAGCCCACAGATGGAAAATACTTTTTAAAGAAATAATTTCACATAATTCTACTCATATATCTATTTTCCGCCCACTGTTTGTTTGTGTGCTGACTAATTTAAAGCACTTTAGGAATAACCAGAGTTATACCGTACATTCGTTGTATAATCAGAAAGATTGTCTGCACCTTGCCATATATTCACAAAAAGGTTTATGCAAACATTGTAGTACATGGTGACTAGCCAAAATTTTTCAGGCAGTCACCGCCGTAATTAAAAACAACATATTTGTTAACTTTTGAATATCTTTAAGGTAGCTCTCATGACTCTCTGTGGTACGTATTAAAGTAAAACATTAATTTGTATGTAGTGTACTATACAGTTGTATTTCTACTGTTACAAAACTTTGTTACTTATAATTCTAGAACAAGATTTTGTTGTAGGTGTATACTACTTTTTTTTTTTTTTTTTTAGGGTAAAATGTTCTGACTGTTTTGATAAATAATTAATTTACTCTCTTGAAATCAAGAGGCCCAATGGGCAATAACGTTCACCCAAGATGTACAATACAGCTATTTTATCTTGTTAAGACATGAAGTGGAAATAATGATGTCACAAACAAAAACACTCAAAAACCATTTAAAATTTGTTGAATAACCAATGGGAAACAATAGTTTTGTGCCTTTTTATTTCTGTATACATTTCTGTATTATTATATTCCCACATTAAGGGCCAAATGGTGAGACCACAAGACATGAAATTCACTACTTTAAAAATTTCTTTCCTAGTCTTTTACATACAAAAAGATTCCCAAAAGTATTATTTCCATGTATACTATATATTATCTGATCCCTCCCCAGGTGGGGAGGATGATCCTAGGGCTATAAAATGAATACAACTTTGATATTTCAATCTATGAAGACCAAATGATTTCATCAGAAGAAAGTTGTTTAAGTTTTAGTCAATTTTCCCATTTCGTTCCCAGCCCCTAGAGGAGGTTCGTTGTGACGGGCTGTCAGTAATCAATTTTTCATATTTTTTAATCTTCCATTTGGATTTTTGATCAATCTGAAAAATATCTCTGTCAGGTCCACCAGTAGATCATCTCTGCATGGTTTCAGTGAAATGAGCCAATTAGAATTTGAGTTTGAATTTTTAATAGGTTTTCAAAATGGCAGCTGTAGTGGCCATATTAGATTTCAGATAAACCCGAAATATAATAACACTTCCTGTCAGTAATATTCCCCTCTAGTACCAATGAAATCACCTCAGTAGTATTTCATTTGAAGCTGAAAATGTAAAATGTTTATGCACGACGTACCCCCTGGACATATAAGGAATGCAATAAGTCACTTAAGCCTTTGGCTCAGGTAACCTTAATAAAGAAAGAAAAGTACAGATTTTTTTTTTTGAAAATCTGACATATTGAATCTGCCATTAAGAAATACCATTAAGTTTGTGTCAGGGAAAACAAGGACAGAGGGTCTTCATTTATTGTCAATCCGCTTAGAGACAATGATGTAGCTAATAGATTGACATGTACGAAAAGCTAATGAGCTCATCCTGAAAAAGGCTGTTTTGTAGTTTGTGTAAAGACAATTCCAGTGACGTCCTGTACACAATCGAAACAGAACTGATTGAGAATGGATCTGATGAGGATGGTACTCAAGGAATGTGGACACAGCAATCCATTTCATTAACCTGACAGATAAGTACACGGAAATTAGATAAACACATTCAATTAGACCAGTCCTTCACGTATTATCAATGAAGACACGGGGACATCCCTGACAGAGTGGTTCTAACTGGATGACAAAGAACTAAGTGACGTCAGTGGGTACATCGGTTTATGGAGCTCAGTTCATCAACATCTCTTGAAACCATTGCCCATAGGTAGAGAGCGTAAGTCTTATACTCTTTCCTATGGAAGTAACTCCCAACAGTCTGTATATTGTATACTGGGAAACTTTCATCCATTACTTGTAAAATCCATATTGGCCTAACGTTAACTTTGCCCTTCTCATGTAATAACTTGGTACAATGTTTAATATGTTGTTAAGTCATATTTGCTGTCATGATCTTGCCATTTTATGGAAGGCAAAAATGGCAAAAGTTAAACTGAGGCAAAACATATCTGGTGTATAGACTTAAAACTAATAAAGGCTAGTTATTGTTATCACCAGACAGTAAACTCAACCTTACAAAATGAAATCTAACCTTCCACACTGTTATTGCTGTAGGTGGGGAAAGGTCTGCCACATATTTATGGTGCAAATGATTGTAAAAACTTACAGAATCCTGCTGTTTCTGAGGTAATAATGAGCATGGTGAAGATATTGCAGAAATGTCAAGATAACAAACATCTAGTGCTGTGGTATATCTCTACAGGTCCAGAGATCCAACAGAACCCTGGAGTGGTAGGGAAAGTGTACCCCCAGCATCACCATGTTACTCTCTGAGGGTCCTGCTGGACAAATTCTTACCTGTTAAACGCATATGTTTTCAATGACAAACTATGACCTCAGTAACTAAAGGAACATAACCCAGACCTAACCATGTCACTGACGGACATTCTGGCAGGATACCTTACAAACCTTTTCCATGACAAATTATGAGCAATTATAACCTCAATAATTCAAGGGACATAACACTAACATCACCAATATACTGACTGAAATTCTTGTTGGATAAACTCTAACCTTATAAAGTTAATCGATGACAAACTCTCTTTGAGCTCAATAATTCAAGGGACATAACCCTGATCTCACCAAGTCACTGACCGAGTACTTATACCTTAAAAACCTTATCCATTACAAACTCAGACCTCAACAATTCAAGGGACATAACCCTGATCTCACCAAGTCACTGACCGAGTACTAATACCTTACAAACCTTATCCATTAGAAACTCTGACCTCAACAATTCAAGGGACATAACCCTGATCTCACCAAATCATGACCGAGTAGTTATACCTTACAAACCTTATCAATTACAAACTTTGACCTCAATAATTCAAGGGGCATAAACCTTACATCACCAATTTATTGACTGACAGTCTGGTAGGATACACTCTTAATGTCACCTTATCCATGACAAATTCTGACCTTAATATTCAAGGGACATAACTCTGACCTTGTCAAGCTACTTACTGACATTATGGCAAGATATATTCTTAACTGAAAAACCTTATCCATGATATCCTCCGACCAAAATCAAATCTATTATTATTGACTTCTAACAATTTGTAACAAGGGAAATTTCCTCTGGCACAAAGCTAAG